TACTGCTTCCTCTCTCAAAGAATAATCTTAAATTAATCACGACACGACGTTTTCATGAAGTGATTAGCCAAGAATTTTAAAACAAGAATTCTTGCTACTTTGACATGACAAAGTCTTAAATACAATAGAGTTTAATTCATTGGCATCGATGGAAACATTGAATCTTAAAGTGAGAGTTTTTTTGAAACTGTGTATGGTAATTTCTTTCAAATTAACTCTAGTGTGCTCACACATCTGAATACCACTAATCACTGTGCGGCCCTTGACGACTTTGAAATTCTATCATCCTCTCGTAATGCATACGAACCATCCATCCACGAAAGCCTTCTCATCTCCAGCTTAAACCTTCTCTTAATGTTCAAGGAAGTTCCATCCCACTAAGTCTCATCTATTTCCATTCAAGCCCACTATATCTATCCCAATGAATCTCACTTAAACCCATTACACCCCACTCTAACCCTTAACACAAAAATCACACAACACTGTCATCACTATACCTTGCAATTTAAAACTTTCGGAAAAAGAAAAAATCTTTCTTCGAAGTTTCCTAATTTACTCACACTCTCCGATTGATATTTTTGCTTTGTTTTTCATAACAAAGGAAATATGCTTATAAGAAACGTACGAACGTCGTTATAATTTTTCATCCCAAAAAAACAAAAACTCACGTGAAAAGGCTTTTCACAAATATAAGATAAAGTTTTCCAACACACTCCTCCCATATGACTTTTATGTTACAAGACATATGTTATAGTACTTAATGTTATAGTTAATGTACATCGTTCTCATCCTGTAAAATTTTTCGCACACGTTGTTCTGCCTCGATGGCTCCTTGTCTTATAAGTACAAAATGTTCGGCGTTTGGATATAACTTTGTTATCTTCTCCTTTGTGTGCTCCCCGTCCGCTGTCTGGGTTAAATCGCATGATAACTCCAGAGGGTATAAATGTTGAACGGCTCTCACTAAGTGATCTCGACCTGCTCTCAGTTTTGCTGCACGTACCACGCCATCTCTGCTTTCAATTAATTCAACTACATGTTTGTAAATGTAGATCGTCCAGGTTGGTATAGTCCTGAGAAGGACTGCTTTTGTTGTTGTTGACTGACGTTTCGACAACCTTAGCGGTAGTCATCTTCAGAGTCATTTTGTAGTTATTTTCTTGTTGTGATATTCAGATTTAACGGTAGCTTAATATGGTTGTAAATGGATTGCTACTTTGCAATTTCCATTTAGGGGCCGGTGTGGCTACCGTATGAATTGCCGCATTGTACGGAATGTCAAATGAGGAGTAAACGTCAGGTTAGCCTTATTTGTTATCTGGTTCTTACGTCATTCTATTGTGTGTACAGGAAATGTGTGGGTGTCATTTGTGTATTGTCATTGTGAAGTAGTGTGAAGTGAAATATCTTTAGTTGTGATGTGTGATTTAGGTGTGATGTTTTTAGTTGATCGTTTGTTTGTATTGTGAATGGGTCGTTTGTAAGGTGCCGGTAATTGCTGTGATCTGTTCAGGGGGGTTTGTTCCAAGTTGGTATACCAACTTTCTAATGTAAGCCGTTGTCTATAGTCAGTACTGTAAGTAATGCATTTTGCCGAGTCTCAGCCAATGTTGTGCTTTGTGATTCGGCAAAATGCATTACTGACAGTACTGATATAGACAACGTCTTACATTAGAAAGTTGGTGTACCAACTTGGAACAAACCCCCTGAACAGATCACATTTACTTTAATTCAACTACCTTACCCATCAACCAATGATTTCAGTTCTTTTGGTTTGACTTCACCAATACGATATCACCGACGGAAATAGTTGTTCCTCGTGCATTATGTTTCATTCGATGACGTTCTCTTAAGCCTCTCATATATTCACTGGTCCAACAACGCCACATTTCTTCCTTAGTCTTCTTTAAATACTTTGCACGTTTTTTCAGACTCTCGGGCTCGTGAAATTCAGGAAGGTGACTGGACTTAACAAACAACATTGAGTTAGGTGTAAGAGTAGACTGTTGGTCGTCTTCCTCCATGTAACAAAGCGGTCTACTGTTCATCGCTAATTCCACATCCAATAAAACTTCAAACAACTCATCCCAAGTTAACACACCGTTTCCAAAAAGCCTTATAGAAGCAGCTCTTCATGAATCCTACTAACCGTTCAAACTAACCTCCCCACCAGGGAGCCCTTCTGAGATTGAACCGCCACGACACCAATTCTTTGTTGAGAAAGTGATTGAGCTGTTTGCCCTACTGTACACTCTTCAGCCACTTTGACGCTGCCACAAAGGTGGTCGCGTTATCCGAGTATATGATGGAAGGTTTTCCTCTTCTAGTCACAAGACGTTTAAAGCTTTTGATGAATTCACTGGTTTCCAAGCTAGGCACGAGATCAAGAAATACTGCCCGTGTCAGAGAACATGAATATAAAACGATGTAGGATTTCCCTTCTCCTCGATTTTTTCTGTACTTTATAGGTCCTGCGAAATCTACGCCAATGATTTCAAATGGATTGGATGGGACTGATCTTTTCTCCGGAAAGGGACCAGGACAAGGCACCTGCGATGGTGTCAGTCTGAATCGTTTACAGCCCCAACAAAATCCAATGATTTTCTTTGTTAACTTGCGAAGTCTTGGAACCCCAAATCTCTCGCGTACATGGGCCAGAGTTAATCCTACGCCACTGTGCAAGGTGTTGAAATGAGCCCTCTGCACCAATTTCGAAGTAAACTTCGCTTGGTCGGGGAGGTATATTGGGTATTCCCCACGAATTCGCCCATGACATTTCCACATTCCCTTATTACTTAACTGGAGATTGAGTTGCTCTTTATCTTTAAAGAGTTCTTCGGTGTTCACGAACTGTTGTTGCGCTCGTTTTATCCAATACTCCTCTTGTGCCAACACCCCATCCGTAGTCAATGCTCCATTTCTCTTCTTCGTTGTGTTACACTGGGATGACTTTGAATTTTCTTTACTCTGTTCGCTACAAATTGCCTGTACTCTCCATCATCTTTCAACCAATGTAACGAGACGGTGCTATCTAGCCAACAGGTAATTTCTTCTATAACCTTAAATCCACTCAATGCCTTTCTAACGTTTACCGCCAAGTTTATAGCCATATGTCCTGACACAAGCTCCAATCGAGGGATGAGCAAATCCCAGTTTGCCAAACGAGATTTCGCTGCTACCAAGCTTTGGCTCATTCCAAATGATTGCTTAATTACTGCATACACTGCTGCACACACTCCTTTGCTACTTGCATCGCCAAATGCATAAATCTTAACTTCTTCAATGTTCTCTCGATGAGAAGGTATGCTACGTTGGAAGGAAACAAATCGAGGTAAATTCCTTTCCAACTTTAACCACTGTTTTGCAAACTCCTTAGGCAACGATTCGTCCCAGTGGAGCTTTATTTCACAAACATGACGATATATAATCTTACCCACAGGTGTCATGGGTGATAACAGTCCTAGCGGATCGTAAATCTTTGCCAAATACGCAAGTATCCCTCGTATCGTTAACACTGCTGGAAATTCAGGAAACAATACTTGTAACACGTCGAGCAACTTCTCCCATTTAAGCCCCAACAACTTACATTCGCCTTTTGTTGAGTTTCCTCCTAGTTGTCGTCTTGCAAATGATAACTCGTCATCCATGTAATCTGTTTCCAGATCCTGAACATTAGAATGCCATTTATGTAGTGAAAATTTCGCTTTGCCAAAAATCTCCACCGCTGCACTCTTTAACTCTCTCGCCTGCTCGGTGGTAGATGCTCCGGAAACCAAATCGGCCACGTATAAGCTCTTGCGAATCTTCTCAAAAACCTCGGAATAACGGTTTTCCAAGATGTTAAGGTGTTCCTGGCGCACTCCGTTGAGAAGGAAAGGCGATGGTGTTAGCCCAAACACCACTCGAGTGAATCGAAGCACTTTTATTTCACTAATGTTGACGTTCTTCATCCAGTGAAAACGTAAGGCATCTCGTTCACTTTTACGCACTCGCACCTGTAGAAAAGCCTTTTTCAGATCTCCAGCGATAGCTACTGGAAGAAATCGATTATGGACAATGACGCTCCAGAGCTGTTTATGTAATGGTTGTCCAGTTAGCAAACAGTCGTTGAGAGAAGGGGAATTACTACACTCACTTGCAGACGCATCGTACACAATTCGTAGTTTCGTAGTTTCAGCGATTGTTGCGGGTCCACTTCTCCAGAGCTTCGACAAACTGTGTGAAGTTCCATTTATCCCAATCTTCATTCATGAGTGTCAACTCACTCTTAATCACAGGTAACTTTTCAAAGGTAAATCGAACGGCTGCATCAAGCTTATCGAGACATTCTAATGTTTGCAATGATTCAACATTATACAAAAGTGTTTCATAGAAGTTGTGAATTTTTCCCACATCTCGTTCACCGATTGTTGGCAGCTCAAGTATACTTTTCTCACATAGGCACTTATAACTTTCACGTTTCTCTAGAATACCTATGGCTCGATTATAACCTTCTTCTGTAAATGGGAGACCATCTAATAACTTTCTCACCTTCAATTCAATTAACTCTTTTAGATAGGAGAACTTGGTAACTGGACCAACATTTGATTTATCTATTTGAGCTTGGAATTGCTCCCAGATCCTGACCCAGTCTCGTGGAGTCTCACCAAACTTAGTTATAACGAGTCTTGGCATCTTTACAGTACTGGATCCCTCACTGCTAGAACTTGATCGAGCATCTTTAAGCTTTTGTTGATATTCAAAATCGAGTTTCCGCCGTTCTGCATCTGCCTCTTTTTCTTGAAGTAACCGTTGCTTAGTTAGTTCTCTTTCAAATCTCAGTTTCCGTTGCTGCTCCAATTTCACAAAATCTTCCTGTGCTGCCAGCTCTACTCGTTTCAACTCGTTAGTGATGTGTCGTATACATTCATCACCCTCAGTTAGTAAGTCGTCCACTTCCTTCGACCACACTTGCACTTCTTCTTCAGTTTTACCATTACTAAGCATTTCATCTTCAATACATTCCTTGAGTTGATTTATTGCTGTTGAGCTTGTTGCAACTGACAATCGCTGTTGTTCCATGGCCTCCTTATCTCCTTTAGACACGATATATTCAGTTCTATTCATGTGTAATTTCGAGGTTTTTGACTAGGCAGTCAGGTTCTTCGCAAAATTTCAGGAGAAATATGTCCTTTTGATCAATTTAACGACACAGTATGTATGCTCCCACGTCGTTTAAACCCGTAGTATCGCCCCAATCCTTTTCAATCCTGCCGGGGTCGCCACTGTTTTGGAAACAGGGAAATGTTTCTTCGAAATTTCCTCATTTACTCACACTCTCAGGTTGATATTTTTGCTTTACTTTTTATAACAAAGGAAATACGCTTATAAGCAACGTACGAACATCGTTGTAATTTTTCATCTCAAAAAACATAAACTCACGTGATTAGTCTTTTCACAAAAATAACATAAAGTTCCAACTACAATTTGTAAATAATGTATAATTAGGTACTATATATGTTTTCTAACTTCCTATATGTATATATTCCAGTCTGATGTCTTAAGCTAAAAACAAAACGCTATTATTAATGAAATTATTTATTCATGGCCATACTTAAAGTTTTATGTTGGGTAATTATATTCATACTTAGAAGAATTCACTTTCCACCTGGCACATCCATTGTCACTCTAGTGATGGAGTTAATAGGTCATAATTAGATTGTGAATTTAAAAAACTAATGAATTCATTGTCACCCTATTTAAACACTTACATATGCTTTTCTGTTATATTAGCTTTGGGACAACTTACTTCAGTAAACATTTGTAACTACAAAGTCTTGTACAAAAATCAATTAATCGCCAAAAATATAACCCTTAACGTTAAGTCATCCTAGGAGTTAACAGGTCGTAATTAGATTATGAATTCAAAAGACTAATCTCATGTCAAAGAAAGGCTATATGCTTTTTAAAGCTAACAAACGAAATTGATTATTTAGCAATAAAACAAACATGCTCATGTTATATCATTACTTTCATAATCATTGTTGCCTTATAATTGTGTCAACCCTATGTTGAAAATAGTGGTATATATCATTTGATAAAAGTTACCTTCTTTCCAAAGAATTATTTCCTTGATAACTTCTTTTATGGTTATGAAATTGTTTTCGTTTAAAACCTTTCCCAGTTTTCTCTTTGGTAGAACTAATAGTCTATTGAAGTAATAGAAAACAGTAACAACAATCAGCCTTAAATAGCACTTGATATAGTTCATGCATACAGTATCATACTTAATTACGATGTGCACTTATTTGAAGACTTGGAGCAACTTCTAAATACATGCACAAATAAATCTTTGACATATGAAAAAATTTCTCCCTAACGGTTATTTAACTTCCTTAACTAGGTAAATGCATAAAAACTACCACCTAAGAATGAAATTTTTTAAGTGCTTCACACTACATTGTCTACATTTAAAATATAAATGGCCTAAAAATAAATATATTAAATATTCAAATAATATAAGCTATAACGCTTCCTTCAGAATTGCTTCTTCATGCTACGACTTAAAGTCTTGTTATACGATAGTCCTGTCGGCTGTCGCAAGTGATGCAACAAGGAACATCAAATTCATCTTTAAGACAACTCTTACATTTAACAACGCTTTCCAGTTTGAAGAAATTTCGTTACATCTTTTTGAAATACTTGGGCACTTTGAACATTTAAATGGCTTTATAGAGGAATTATTTCTTTTGCAAACTTTTTTGTCTATCTTCCGACGTTGGTTTATAACTTTGTTTAGATTTTCCGCCATATTTGTTCTACCCCTGACTGCACAATCAACACAACAATCGGCACTACATTCAACACCATAATCGAGTAAATTGTATCATTCAAAATGAAAACTCTGAAAATTTCTTAACTGTGTACGACAGTATTTTTGTCCTTAAACATCACATATAAAGAATGGAAGTCACGAAATTCATAAATAAACTAAGCTTTAATATTGGCCTATAATTTAAAAACTACAAGGTGGAATTTTTTTAAACTTTCGTAGAGCATAGAGTTTGATATTTTCTCAAATATATCTGAAATATGGAGGTGGCATAAATTTTTAAATTAACGAAAATCATAGTTAAAATGCTGTGACACAAATGCGCAAAATATAATTAAATGTAAACAAAGAGCGAGTTCCTGTTCTAAAGAAAATAAAAGTTTATATCTAGAAAACTACATAGAAGAATTTTTTTAAACTTTGTTATATTACAGACGTTTATATTGCCTATAATATATCCAAAATCTGGAGGTGGAACAAATTTCTAAACTATCGAAAATCGTCTTCTTAGTTGGGTGACATTTAAGTTAGTTGTATATAATTATATATGCACAAAAATCGAACTCTGCTTGTTTCACATAAAAATGTCTATTACTAAAAATTTACACGGAAGAATTTTTTTAAACTTTGATATTTTTATTATCTATAATATATCCAAAATCTGGAGGTGGCACAAATTTCAAAAGAATCGGACAAAAATACTGTCGTACACAGTTAACAAATGTTATTTCATATTGTCGTACACAGTTAACAAAATTTTATTTCATAGAAAAGGTGAATTAAAAGCAACTTTTAGAATTGTCATTTTGAATGATAAAATTTAGTCGAATGTGGTGTTGATTGTTGTTCTGATTGTTGTGTTGATTGCTGTGCCCAATGTGGTGCCAATTTCACAGTAGTGTGAAATTCATAAGTATCTTAATCCTATAAAACTCAATGTTGAATGTGCATGACAAGCAGATTAGCATCATCAAATTTTGAAAGTTGCCATGTCGATTACTCCGTTGTTTTATTTGAAAAATTCTGCTCTGGCTGGTAAGTGCTGCTTTCGGTGTACATAGCAAAAGTTTCTTGTGTCGTATATAACCGCTTTTAATCTTTGGTCTTTACTCTTTATCATTGTATGAAATGGTAAACAGAACACTTTAATAATGACACAAAATGATTTTGAAGACATTAAACAAATTCATTTCATTTTCGTATTGACTGTCTTCAGTTGCATGCACCAACCATACACCCACTTAAAGAATGATGGCTTAGCCCGCCACTAAGTCTGGTTTGACTTAGAAATAAGATTGTTGATATGCAGTTCCTTGTAAAATGCTTTTTTCCCTATTATCTTAGGTCTTGTAGGCATTGCAACCGGCACTGTTATACATTCAATTTATAATTATCCAGACACAAGAAGGAGGAAATTACTGTTCTCCACTTTATCAGGTATTGTGTTCATATAAAACTGACCACTTTTTATATGGCATTCTACGTAGACCATCTATGAAAAAATGTATTGAAAGTATAAATGAAATCCAATTTTCTCATCTTTGCCAAAAAATACATCTCCGAAGCAAAACTGAACAAATGTCTTCATAACTGGAATTGATTTACAATTAACCTCCTATGAGCCAACCTCCTTAGGATATGACCTGGTGTCCACTTACAAGAGGTGTGCATACGTAAGTAGAGGTTCAACAGTATGAGGTAATTTTGCTCCCCAAAATGCCCGCTCGCTGCTTTGATCTTCATAAATATTGAAATCAAAGAAATTTTTTTTTTCACCAGGAATTGATCCACAATGGGTTGCTTTTGGAGGGGGTGGTAATGTCTTAGATATGTTCCTACTTCTTTATTTAGATATATACTTCTACATTCGCAATAGTAATACAACATATTCAAATCAATTTTTCAATGTTTTTCTCCCACTATTGCACAGTGATGTATAATTTCCCATTCTTGAGCATGTTCATTAACATTTGGTTGTTTGTTCCTTTCTTAATAAATACATTAGCAAGTTGACTTTTTGCATCAATCCATCAAACTGTGATTTCCTGGTGCTTCATCCAAAGTCTTGCTGCAGCAATATCCACTCTTGTCTTTCTTCAACAGCTTTTGTTGAATGTACTGCTTCTGTCAATGAAACTTTATTAGTGTATATTTCAAGTGTTCCTAATGTTCCTTAAGTTCATCCAATATTTGTGATAGCCATACACCAGAATTAGCCTTATTTATCAACAATATTGTTTTTGTTGCAATCATATTCTTTTAAACCTTATTTAATTTGCTTGATGCCCGTCCACAAATAATGTAATTTTTCCTGTTTGAGATGATCCATTCTTCTGGTTGGCATAAGATACATTATAGTATGCCACTAATTTCTATGACTATTTCAAAATACCATGATTAAGTAAAACCTTATTTTGCTTTACTTTTTTTAAGCAGTGTACAGTTTTTTGCTCCATTGGCAGACATTAAATGCAATGTGTGGTGCATATTGTGTTGAAATCTTGTTCAATTGCCCACAAGTGTATCAAAATGATGCTGCTCCTTGCCACGAATTCAAGAGCGGAGACTTGTCATTGTTGTTTTCAATTTTAACTTCCTTTCATTCATCAATACAGAAAGCTTGATTTAAATAAATTTACTCCATTTATTCCTGAAATATTCATTCCAAACTATTTTATTGGAATTACAGTGTCTCCTGCTCTAACTGAAAAAATGTTTTTATCTTCTCTTTCAGTCTCTCAAACTTCAATGGTCTACCATGCAGGAATTTTTTTACATATTTAGCAAAAACATCTTTACCTTTTCTTCCTGTCTTCAGTAAAATAATTCTTCCCCATATTTCGACTTGATCAAACAAAGTTTTGTAGGCTGGTCTGTCACATGATTGTACAAATATCACGAGGTTTCATTTAATCCATAAACACACTTTTTCAGCGTCAAAAACTTAGCTGTTTTAGCTTCTTTTGGTGGTTTAATGTATATATCTCTATGCAATGCTCTTCCTTGTCTATGCGTACATCTGACATTTTACAGTTATATTTCTCGTGTCCATTATCGAAAATACCAAATTAGTGGCTTGTTTAGAGCATGTACAGGAATTGATCTGTCAGTTTCAAATTTGATGATCTTCAAATCTTCTAGAAACTTTAGTGTGATTAGTCTGACGATGTCTTTGGAATAAAGACGAAATATTACACAATTTGTTTTTCTAAAACTCTTGTATCATCTTGAATATCAAGAAAACGGGATGTCTGTTTTCGGAATCTGTTTTATTTTGTTTTGACATTTAAAATAATCTGCTTGTCCTGGTTATTTTTAGAAACTTTCTTTACTGTTCCATTGACAACATTAGATGTCATAACCCATCCACATGTAAGATGTTGTTGCCTTTTTTCCTTCACTTCCTAGTAGATGGCATTCTCTCTTTAGTTTTCCAGTTTTTGGCAGCTTGTATGAATTCTTCTTTTAAGTTTTTCATTAACAGGCTCCCATTTTTCTACTACAAGTTTCGAGAAATCCAACCATTTAATGCGTTGTAGTACATCCTTCGTATCTAGGCAACCTCCATACGTACTTGCCTTTAAGTTTTCGATTTTTTCATTTGCCTTCACCTTTTGATGTATATGCTACGTATTTTTCACTTTTAATTTTGAAAAGAAAGTGTATTAATTCACGGAGATGAATTGTACATTAATTTTATGTAAAATTTTATTCTTTGGTGTGTAAACATTTTTAGGAGAAGCAACAATCACTTTCTCGACCTTCTTTGTAAGCTTTGTTTTTTGTGTCTTTGATAAGCTCATGGTTGCTATCTTCATCACTTGCAATATCTTGATTATTTTTCATTTTATTCGACCTGATTTCCCAAGTCGCGCTCTCATTGTGGTTTTCTATCACAGGATTGAATTCCGCATCATCACATTGAATTTATCAAACAAATTGATGTATGCACTCTAATATGCCTATTTACTGCGTTTGTTCTCTTGACCAATTACATATCCAGCGTCTCTCCACTTGTTACATGCAGTCACAACACTTGTACTATACTTTGTCGCTATGGTTGAACTTTTCATCATAGCAGCTTCGAATATATTACTTATTAATTGCCGTTTGATCTTTTTTAAAGTTGCACATTTAATGAAAGTGTCAATTGCTGATCACATTGCATTTCAAACATCGTTTAACAGTGTTATCAGATACATGTTCTTCCAATGTTGGTAATGTGTCATTTAAAACAATTGGTGTACTTGGATTCTTTCCAGTTACACATGTGTATCTATTGTAACCACTGTGACCATATGAAGAGTATTTTTGCTCTGATGGCTCAGGACACGGCTGTTTTAAGTTAACAGTCTATATCTTCTACCATTTTTTCAATGATTGCTTAATAATATGCAAGCAGTTTCGACTACTTGATGCTAAAAGCTTCACACATGTCTCTGTACTCTTCATTGAACCTCCCCCCCTCCACACACACACACACACCCCTTATTATCAGCAATAATTCTTTTTGGTTGACCAAAAAAATCATCCAGGTTTTAAGGGTTGCATCAATCATTGGAAATGACGTCTTTGATCGCCTAAAGGAACGTTTGCACTATCCGAATTGTCGTATGGGATTGTTTCTTTTCCGAGTTTTGGTGGATTTGTTCATTCGATCTGATAATTTCATTGATATATATATTCGTTTAAATTTTTCTAGTAGTGGGAGTATATATTTAATATATCCAATACATTTAACGATATATTTTGCGTCTTTTTTTTGATCTTGTCGGGTAAAAAATAGAGGAAGTTCTGTTTCCAATCGATTTTCAGACTGTTTCACGATGTGTTCACACGATCTGTTTTTCACTATCTGATCGTGACAAAATTGTATCCGACCAACGGGTCGTGTAAACGGTCAAGCAACAAATCTTGAAAACACATTGACTTGGTGGGAACTCAAAGGTCTTTGTTTCATTCTTACCAAACCCATTGCAAGTGTTACACAACTACTTTTCCTAGAGGTATCGTCTGCAACATTTTGCAGACATCACATTTATTTGAGATTTCATCAACAATATGAAGAACTTCCCTATCACTCGGTCACAATTTAGATCATTTTGTAGGTTTACAATTGCCTATTCTGCTAATTGACCATATTATAGGAAATTTTATAACTTTTTATTGTCATTTCTATATATACATGCGCAGTGTCTATTATAGATGGTTGCATGTAATTAAGGCTAATTCATTTACCTATTTATGACTAATTTTCTTTTGCTTGCATGTATTTCCTCGCAAAAATATCTATTTTTTAATTTCATTTTCCTTGTATTTGTTGTATTTGTTTAACAACAGTTTGAATCAATTGTGCATTAGTTAGATTGAATTAAAAGTCTTTTATTTTCTGTGGTTATAACTAAGTATTAATGTTTATTAAAGAAGAGACTTTAGAGGCTTCAATTGACTGAAACTTTATCCATCCAGAGGCCAATATTAAATCCCAACCCATTACGATACTTTGACTGTGACGAACATAAATTACATTACAGAGGTTTATTCCATGGCTTTTTTAAGCTTTTATGCTTGACGTGAAAATATGGCAATACGCACTTATTTTCATAAGCTCTCTTTTCAAAATGCACAAATACTGCCACATACTGTACAAATAGCGATTCTTGCCTTATAAAATCTTGTGAAGCAAACAAGAGTTCAGTTGTTGTATTATTTCATTTACAAAGCTGTAGCCAAAACTTTTAAAAATATTTACATAGTCTATGTTGCTTACAGTTTTTATTTTTGCCTTTTTTTCTTCCAAGTAACTGACCTCTAAATTACGTGCAAAAGAAGCGATGATCATCAACATCGACCATACATTTAATTTTCTGCTTAATTATTCGTGATCTCTCTCTCATAATATGTGTGTTTTTTTAAAAATATTCTCTACCTTTTTGCCGTTATGGCCAAGCGAAGAGTAGCTATTTATTTGTTTGTTTTTCGTAATAACTCATTAGAAATGTTTGCATTTGTATGTATTGTTGTTTTAGGTTGTTTTGGCGTTAGTATTGGTTATGCTTTTGCTGTGATAAAGAAAAAGAATGTCTTTGTCTGCAGCTTATCGACTGGAGTAAACTTTACCATCGTGCCTTTGGTGTTCTTGAGTAAGTATGGCTACTGGTGTATTTGTTGATTAATGTATATTATATCAGTCATTATATGCATTCACTGCTTCTAGTGCATCATGTATAACCTTTCCAAAGAACTACTAACACGTTCATGTTAACACGCTCTTCCTTTAATTTTACATATCCGGTTACGTTTTGACTGTAAAATATAAGTTTTATATTAGTGTTACGTTCTTTCGCTATAACTGCTAGATTTGGTTGATTGTAAAAAATAAGCTACGAATTTTTCGTAAAGACCGTTTGACTGGACGAGATTTTAGCAATTCTTTTTAAACACTTTCTGCCAATAACGTGCATGAAAATATCGAGGTTTTTGATGCAGTATTTTTAAGATGTATACGCTGCTGTTTAAATTAATTTTTAGAAGTCTCTTGCCCTAGTGAATTCAGAAAATTGGTGTTACAGAGATTTAATGATATAGATGAAATTGGTTAATATTCAATTAAGAAAAAAAGATGCTTACTGTATTTGCATATAGGCAAACCGAGCGCGTGCATTTCATCGTTTTTGTTTTATAAAACAACATAACAAATGATTTTTGAAAATGCATTCCGAGTCATCTTAATTGCCACTCCATCGAGCGAACAAGGCAGCAAACTGAAGCTTACAACATTGTTCAGACATGGATAACGTGTATTGATGAGTGGAAAATGTGATGGTTGAAAATGTCAAATAAACTAAACTGTGGGCAGTTCTTAAAGTCTTTGACTGTTTCATATTTTTAACAGCACAAGCTATTGCTACAAGACGTGCTTTTAGATCGGCGTTATCCATGTCTGAACAAATTTATTACTAATGTTCGAGGCCGAACAAGACAAAAATCTCTCGGAAAATAATAAAATACTATTATATCAATGTAATATGTAATGAAGAATCGTTTGTTTGTCCTACTTTTCCAATTAGTGTGGGAAAATACCCCCGCAAAGCTCACGCCAATGTAACCTATTACGTCTCCTGGCACGGCAGTGTTACTAAAAAAGAAATTTTGTAAGTTTTGGAATCGACTTGACTTTCGACGTATATTTGTATATGATAATATAATTGATGATTTTATAATTCATAACGGGTCTGTTTTGGGGCGTTAATTTTTAGAGTTTGATTTTTCCCATAGCTTACAGTTTTGATGTGGTTGTTGCTGTGCCTCGGTCGCTTTTACTGTTGCTCACTGCTATGGCTAGGTTTTGTTTGTTCCTTGTTTTCACTGTGGTACATTTACGTTTATGTAAAATTGTTTTAAAATGAATACGTTCGACATAACTTTGAAGTTGATTCGCAATGAAGCTGGGAAGCTTTTTGCGTCATCGTTCGTCATATTTGGTGAACATAATCAACATAAATGGCTTTTATCAAAAATTTGTCGCATGTATGGCGAAATCTACAGTTTTCGTATGGACTAATTCAACGACCTTTATTCCATGATTTACGTACGATTGATGCCTGTAGATCACCCCTAGGCTCTCGCATGCTCGACTCACGATGTAAAACTGCTTGCCCAGAAGCTGCAGTATGGTAATGATAAAGGTCGGAGTTGATATGGCTCCAGTTGCTTAAACCTGGTCTGCGGCCTCCAGGCGAAATGCGCGATCGTAGTTGTGCCATCACTGTGCAAGGAATCGCTTCACAGTGCGAATAATCAAAGCTCTGTAAGCCAGCAAATAACGCGCGTGATTTGGGTGGGATGTGGTTATAACTGCCTCGTATGCGTTAAAACATTCTACCCAAGACAATATATCGCTTATTTCTGATTTCTTTCGCGAAACATATGTGCTTGAGGGGATTATTGCTCCACCTTCTATTGTGAACGAAGGGCGATCCACCGCAGTTCGTTGCAGATTATATGGCAATAGATTGCACATCTCAACGAATTTAAAATCGATGATCTGCCAAACTATTTTTGAAGGAATCGGAGGTCGGCCAGGACCCAGGACAAACGCTTGATTAAGCCCACTAACCTCAAGACGTGGATGAGAGGGGGTAATCGCAGACAATTACGGTACCGTTGTTGCGGCTGACATGGCAGTTACAACACAATTGATACTACTTTGCGTTGGTAATTCAGAGGACACAGCAACAAATGATGGAGTAGACAACGTACCTGATTTTGCTGAATCAAAAGACACCTCACCTAGCTGTTCCAATCCAGAAAACGTTGCTCTTTGATCGTTGTCTTTTCTTACAGCCAACTCCTTTGCCAGAGAATCTGTTTGCTCTGCAAACGTACTTCGCTAATGATATGCACCTCGCTGTATCCTATTATCTAATACTGCGTGCTAGCCGCAGGGGTCTCGTGCCCAGATCTCCACCCTGTTCCTGGCTATTAACCTTAGTTATTGCATAACCTCATTTATTCCGTTTGTGAAGAAATTATAAGTTGCATTAGAATGATTGACCAATTGTTTTATGTACAACGCACATCTGTTAGTGATTATTTTGGAAACAGATACATGGCAAATGAAGCTTTGTGCATGTGCTACTGATATTGAAATCTATTCTCATTAGTCTTTAGTCGGGTCAGTGGGTTAACAACAAGACAAATTCGTGTGTTTTTGCAAACTATTGGCCGTTACTCATGCAAGTGACTCTCGTGCACTTCACACTCATATAGGCAGCACTAGCGACCGAGTGAGGCAGCAGATTTAAAAGTTACAGCTTGCAAAATTTAAGATTTTTGCTTGCGAATTGCGTTTTGGGTAAAAATATGGACCCAAAATGCAATGCGCTCTTTCTTCACATAAATTGGACTTGATTACCACGCGTTCGTTCACTTTGCGCTAATCTTTTTTCAATTATTTCATCTCTTGGCCGGACGCGGTGTTATAATAAGAAAATCTGTACATGGAACTTCTTGCGTAAGTCCTCGTCATATTACTGATATGTACGATACTATAAGAAATTTCAACTTTACTTTGGACATATGAGTGCATGGTATTTTTTTACGACTCAGCTGGTCTGTTTTGGGGCTGTTATGTCCGAGTTTGGTAAATGGCTTACTGCCCTGGCGTCAAGTTTTAGTGCGGTTGTTGCTATGCCTCCTTCGCTTTTACTTTGCACATATTTATGGTGCAGTATAGTTTGTGCCTTTATTCTTTTGATGTGGTTTACTCTGCTGGTAAGGTGTTGTTTGTGCCTTGTTTTACTGACTTGCATTTCCGCTCGTTTTATATGTAAATTGCGTTTGTCTAAAATTATTTTGAAATCAAAACGCTTAAGTTTTTGAGTCGATTGCTTGAAGGCTCTAGAACCTAGTAAGCTTGTGTTATCTTCGGTCATTTTGCTAAAGGTGCGAACAAAAGGCTTTTGTTTGAAATGTCATGTATGAAAACCAACAGCTTTATTTTAGTGCTAGTAAATAAAAAATCAGCATTTTTTTTCTCGTTGAATAAACATCTGAATTTTGCGCTTTAATTAGAACAATCTAAAACGCTGTAAGCTGCTTTAACCATCACAACCCGTACCTATTTTACACTATTTTATAAATTCATGACGCTTTTTTTTCTGTCATTTGATTCCTTCTAGCACCTCTTCTGTCTCGGGCCGCCTGTTATCGGGTCTTTTCTTTCTTTTGCCTTGCCTTTGTAGGTGCCTTTGTAGCTCGTGCAGTCAGAAAATATGTTGGATATGCCCGTGAACATAGTCATTAACTTGCTTCCAGCATATATCAGTTCCTAATACCCTTTTTTTGACGATGGAAGTAATTTGTCTGATTGAAGTGAGTGAAATACCTGTGCGTTTTCAAAAAAATACCTGTGCGTTTACTAAGAAGTCAAATTCATACTTACTTATTATATTACTTATCGATACACTGTTTTATACAATAATTCTGTTCATTCTGTTCATTCTGTACAGTCATACTGTTCGTTCTGTAATTTGATTCTTTATATTTTAGTCAGGCAGATAAGTGAAGAAAATTGAGTAAAAACTTACCATACCTAGGGGCAATTTCATTTTATGCTAGAATTGTAGTTAAACACCTTTAAAAACCATTTGAATAAGTCGGCGAGCATAAATGTTCTTGAGAAGGCCGACTAATAACTTTTATTGACAGCATTTGGTTTGTTTTGAGAAGCCCCATGATTTTTGAATAATTTTGATGGAAGAAGTGATACTTGGTTAATTTAATCAGCGGCACTTCATAGTACTTCATATGAACCACCTAAAAATTATATGTTCGCCTGGCATGTATTGTCTTGTCTGACAAATCATGTCTAGAAAACGAAAAATATACCGTTTGGAGTTGATGTGAGCATTTCACCGTCAAAAGCACAAAAAAGATTGTGCATGTGTGTATAAGTGGGGAATCAAGTGTACGTTAAAATAAATTATAGCTCTTTAGGCTTAATGTTAAATTACATTCAGAAAACACTGTTGGTGTTTTGTAGTGTTTTGTATTTCCAAAGAATATAATTTTACCAATGAGTTTGCGCTCATTTGCCGTATGCCAAAATGTACTGCAGTAATTTATTTTAAAGTACTCTTAATCCTCCACTGAACCATTTTGTGGTATATTGTGGCTAGATATGCTGAAACCGATAGTAAAGTTTTTGAAATCAGTTCAAGATCATCAAGTACACTATCTGCTTGAGAATGATGTGTTAAAATGACTACATACTCTCAGCTTTGACACTAAGCATGAATGAGTCAATTTGCTTACAAGTTCAAGCGCATAAAGATGTATTGTGATCTTTTGCTTTATGGGGATTTCATATGCTATATAATTTTTGTTCTGTTTAGGCTTGTCAAAAATGTAAATATCACAATATGTTTTCAGAAGTATAGTATAAAGCAAATTTTGGAAAAAGCAAGACATTCTTTAAATTGTCGGCTGGTCATGATTTTATGTTTTCAGAATGTTTGACGAAGCTTAAAAGGTTGACAAATTTTTCTTTTAATTTCATATGTTGAGTTATGGCAAGTTTCATAGAGGGAGACTGCATTTTTTGTAGTTAGACCAGTTACACAAAATACTATTGTTGTAATACTTATATAGCTACACATGCATTGCTTTGTCTGACTGTTCAACATTTTTTCATACCAACATCTTTTAGCTATATTGTTCTTTAAAAATACTTCAAAAAGTACTTTGTTTGGGAATGAAATTCTGTATCACAAACAATTCTTTTCAACAAGTTTGCCTATAATTCTGTCTTAAATTTCATGTAGTTTTTATTCAAAACTCTCCTTATTTCCTTTTTTTCTTTTTGTTATTTGTTTGATAAAAACGAATAAGTGTTTTTATAATGAAAATTATTAATATATCCAGGTATTCGTCAAGTCATTCAGACAGGCGATGCTACACCAAACGTTATGAAGAACAATCGAACGTCAATTGCCTTGAATAATTCCCACATTCTGTCCGCCTTGAGTGGTTCGATAACCGGGTTACTTATGTCGCTGTACTCGATCAGTTAGTATGAAATTATCAATGTGATGAACATCACACTACTTTTCTTAACATATTTATTAAGCAGAGTAACCAATCTGTAAATTTTCTTGCTGAATTTGGTTCGAAGCGTTGGTCATAAGGGTATGACTTATGTAATATATGCTTCTTTCTCTGCTTTTATGCAATATGCTGTTTTCGTAGTATATTTTTGTACTGTACATAACTGTTTTTGTATGTAATGATGTTCATTGTTTATTAATTTGACTATGTTACAGCTAGTAGCATTCGTTTGTATTGTGGTGATCATCACTGAAACTTATTTACCTCTTTCAGTTCTGCCTATTTGAATCAATGGAGTATTTTTGCGATAAACTAACCTAGGTCACTCTTTGAGACTTGCTACATGCAAATATTCTTGTTTTTTAGAGAGAAGCCTTAAATCTTCAGTTTTGTTTGTCGCAAGCGGTTGCACTTTGGCTTTAACAGGTATGCTTACATTATTACTTACCCTTTGGTTTTGCATGATGTAGGACTGATAACTATTACCTGACATTCGCCATTTTCTTAGAGCTTTTTGTGAATGATGTGGAACCAGAGTATACTATAGCATACTACATCAAGCGATTTTTATGGCCTTTTATAATTTTTGCTCTTGGCCGATTTATTAACATTTTTACATTACAAGGCGAAAGCTAAAATTTTATTCTCATGCAATTCAATCAGTTCTTATAGCCATTATTAATATTCTTCTTTCAACACGAGTCAGACAGTCCGTCAGTCAGTCATATAGTGTAAACTTTCCACGAGGTGTCTAGCCACAACAATCCTTTTATGTTTCATGATTTTTGTGGGGATTTTTTATTTGTGCTTCACCGATTATGAAGTAGGAAACTTAAATGAATTTTTATGTGGCAGTGTAGCAGGTTTTCAACAAATACCAAATAAGATGACAAGCAACTTTCGAAAAAAAATCACAATCGAAAAATAAACTGATGATATTTGCCAATTTATACATATTGTACTGATGATTATCAACTGACATTCACCATTGTCTTTGAGGTTCTTGTGCATGATATAATGTCATAGTATACTATAGAATTCTACAGCAAGTGATTTTTATGGCTTTTTACTGGTGATTTTTCCTCTTCGCCAATTTATTTGCACAAGTTAACATTACAAAGCAAAAGCAAAATTTTGGGTCTCATGCAGTCTCTGTTCTCAGCTGTTAGAAACATTTTTAATATTTTTTAATTTTTTTTTTGCAATATTGGCCACGTTTAGACTACAATGTAGCTATGCGGAGAAAGGGATATCGTCCCCAAAAGATTAATTTACTCCACTAGATTTTTTCAATCTTGAGGCTATAACATCAAAAATCGATGTTATTCGTTCAGTTTCCGCGGTCTTCAGGCTTATTTTAGCTTTATTTCTAGTAAACATGCACTTTGACGTTGTCAGACTTTTGAATATGTTAAAAGAAAAAAATTCAGTTGAGAAGGCCTTAGAAAAGGTTCTCCAAGAAGTATGTGCTGTCCCACAATTCTATGTTACTCTTGTGATTTTTGCCTTTTGAGCAATTTTAAAACTTTCTTTTGGTTGGAGGTTAAATTTGGCTTCTTCCTTTGATTGTAGCTTTTAAGACCGGCCTCTTTCAACTTTTGTTTTGTGGTGTAAAGAGAGGTATCTAGTCGTTACTTATTTTTCACATCCGGATTGGTTTTGAATTGATAAGCTTTAATTTTCAAAGCCACCACCTTCCTTCAGTTGTGTGAAACCAAGAGTCTCATCAATATCAATGTCTTTGGACATGATATTTTTGGCAACTTCTGCTTCGTTGTTAGAGAGAGTGTACCACGCATGCGCAAGTCAGTCTTTAGAGCAGTGATATTAGTATAATGACTGAATGACAAGTGGAAGAGTTGTTTGGGAAAGAGGAAAAGTGGAGTTGGCGTACAACTCCTCCACTCCTGGCTGATGACTCGTAGAATTACAATCAAACTTCGACTTAAGGTAAGTCTCGTTTAATTTCAATTCTACTTCTTCATCAGCCGAAGTCGTTACAAAGTTGTACGAGATTTTAAAGCTGCCAATAAACTTATATCGAATCCGAAATAAGTTTGGACCAGCTGTACACAATCAAGAAGTAATCATCATAAGCAATGTAATTTGTAAGATAACATTAACAAAACTACAAATCATAAAGTTCAAGCAATCCTGAATTCAAATAATAATCTAATTTCCCCCCATTTGATTGTAACAAGGCACAACCAAAGTTAAAACTCGGAACAGAACTAATATTTCTATGGTAAAATCGATGAAAGGTCTCTGTCTTTGTCCATCCTGCTGCAGCAATTATATCCTTTACATCAAGCTGCTTAGTTATGAGAGACGAGGTAGATGCTTCTCTAGTGGTATGACTTTTTTATACGGATGTATCAAATGCTATCAGCCTTCATGAAATTCTTGATCCACTGTGAAATTGTATCAAGTGACACTGCTCTGTGCGACCGAATGGAACTTACAAGCAATTGTTTTACATCATTTCGCAGAGGCTGTGTCCTTTCAAGATACACTTTTAAAAGAGTAATAATGCACAGAGTTGGATCAACTGGAATGTCGAGAAATTCCTACGGTCTCTGATGTGTACCTGAGCGAATCTGCTGTAAATTTTCAGCGATTACAAATACAATCCTACTATCTTCAATGGACATATTATTCAAAGAGAGTTTGTTAACAGTCTGGCAACGTTGGCCACTAAGTAAACACAACAGAAATGAGAGCCTGTAATTTAATTCCTTTAAGGAAAGCCATTCTGCAGGTTTTTGCTTTCTTTTTGCTTCTCAAACACCTCTTTCATGAATCGATTTACTACAGGAAACTGTCCAAATGGAATAGTAATATCATCAATTTGCAAAACAGAAGACAAAACACTTCTAGCTGTATTAATGTAGATGTACATGTATGATAAGCCAGAATGAAATGGATCAGAAAGAAACCTAAGAGCTACCGGTAAAGGGGGAGATGTAGCGTCACATTTTGTATGGAAGCAACATGTGCTTTCGCTTTTTGTCGATAAACACAGGAACAACAATTGCTGCGTTTCGCTTCCTCTTGTTTTTGTCACTGCTTTTAGGATTGTCTAAAGGATTGATAATGGAGTCTTCAGTTCTCATCTGCTTAAATGGAGGCTGCTCTGGCTAGTCTAAAATTTCTTTATGGTTTATTTCCAGCTCTAGAGTTGACTGTTCAGCATTGACTGTTCAGCATCGATGTCAGTCAGTTAATACTGTATTTTATCCATTTTTCTGTTAGAAGTTGGGTTAAATTGCCAGTAGCAGAAATTTTTGCATGTACTTGAAAGAGAAATCCAGTAACACGAATACACCCTCCCCACCACCACCACCTTTCCCTTCATAACATTTAGTCAGCCATATTTTTATTAAAATATAACGAGTTCTATTAATTGGTTTCTGTTGGATTTTTATAGGTCAGCATTTTACGATTTCTTTACTAACTGGAGAATTCGTAAAGCAATAAGAATGCAATATCCAGAACTTCGTCAAGAAGAAAAGGTTTTTCACTATTTGTTTCTATTTGCCCTTGAAAGCCTTGTATCATTCTTATAACAATACACTGGAATTTTAAACTAGTCCTGGTTTTATATTTATAATTTGCAAGAATTTATGAAAGATATAGAGTTTTAATATGTTGCAATGATTCGTTACGCAGAATAACGTCGTTTACAACGGTTTGTTTTAGAACAAATAAACACATTTTGTTATTTACTGATTGAGCAATTTATTTTTCAATATGAACATAATAGCCCAACATAAAACTTTTAAAAAAGCCATCACAATAATAAAATTGAGAATGATTTATTAATAACAATATCAATTTTATTATTGTGATGGCTTTTTTAAAAGTTTTATGTTGGGCTATTATGTTCATATTGAAAATTCGCTTTCCGCCTGGCAAATCTCTGCCCACGATTTTAAAGAAACAATGTATGTTTAGAATTTATCTTGTGTGTTTGCTACAAGTTTTAATTTACAACCCCTGTACTAACCGAGCGCAAGGTCTTTACCAATCAGCAGTAGGCGGAATCCTAGCCTTTCCTGCAATCTCAATGGCTGCAAGCCTGCAGCGGCGTGCGGTTTTTTAAAACATAGTAGAGATTTTTAGACTACGTTTACACTACGCTGGAGCTAAAAAGTGACGGAAGAATTTGACTGCGTATACACTGATCCGTTTGAATTCCGTTACAGTTTTGCTGGTGTTTACATATGATGTCTCTTGTTGTCAAAATTTGTTAGTTGTTTGTGAAAGATGGTGCCATTTTTATTTGCATATTGCTAGATGTTTATATCTCTAGCCATAGGTCATAAGAGACAATGATTTGTAATAGTTACAACTGAATCTTATCAGTCGTTAAAAGCTTTCCAAAACATAAAACGAGTAAAACTCTCACCACGGGCCGAATTAAAGAAAATTGACGTCATCAGTAGCGCTGGTGTTCGTTCAACCACGTTCCGAAAGTGTGGTTGTATCGCTCCGGAAAGTGACGCTTTCAAACAATTCCGCACCGGTTCGTTATAAAGCAATCCTGTTCTGTTACTTTTTGTGCCGTTTTCAGAGCGATCCGTAGTAGTGAAACGTAGTCTTAGTTTGGCGTAATTCTCAAAAGTCAGGTGGTCACGGCTTTGCGGTTTTACGTGCAGTTTGCAGTTCAGGTTTTAACGGTTTCCGCGGTCCAGAATCCTGTAGGTAAATACTTAAGGAAGGAGTTTGTTGTTGTTTTGTTTTCGTTTTATTTTGTTTTAAGAGGAAATTATCAGCCAACTTTTGATTGTATGATAACCTATTTTAAGTAAATTTTGAGGTATTAAGTAAAACAAAGAGCAAAGTTTTGATGATTTTCTTAGCCGTCATTATTGAATCTGTCTGAGCAATCTATTTATTTTTGTTGCCTTTAGTACAATGATATAGAGCTCAAAGTCGATTATATTTGCCTGACCGTGACATTAAAATAAAAAACTTGGGTGAGAGCCCAGATCTGAAATCATATGGAGAACTCGCTTCGAGTAAACACTGTATTTACTCACAATCTCCTCTAAAGCTTATAGGGAAGGGTCAAATATACGTTTCTGCCACGAAGACGTCAATATGACGTCTGAAGGAGGCGGTTTTCAGACATGGCGTCTTCTTTTCGAATTATACGCTTATCAGTTATCAACGCCGAGTATTAAAATTTTGATAGCCAGTATAACAGCAAATATGCGCCAATACGACAAAACATAAAGAATTGTTGAGTTGCTGCCTGCGTTTGTTGAACAACTACTTCCGGTTATTTACGCATGATAAGAACACGAGTAATTACCGACGAACGACATCTTCTTACGAAATGTCTCGCCAACTCACACTATTTGGCAAGGCTATGAGTTTGAATGTCGTTTATAAACTCCGGAAAATAATTACGAAAAGTTTGTAAATACATATTGCAATCTCATTTAATGTCGAAGGCTTTCAAAAGAAAACAAGAGGAAAAGGCAGACAATGCATAGCGAGAGGTAAGAAGCTTTTTCTTCTGAAAATACTGTACAGTTTTAGAATTGAAAAAGTCTTTTATTTCTCAGATTAAGCATAATCATTATTTTAAAGATATATATAAAATATAAACAAATCAACTTCATCGATGTTGATGTTGTGATGAACATACATTTTTAGAAAATGACAATAGCTATATTTTTTGTACGGTTTTCCGTTGAACATTGAAAGCAATAAGACATATTTATCATAAGAAATCGCATGCATATCCAAAAAGCTGTATTGTTTATTAAAATAAATTAATTATAGCCGAGATTTTAATAACAATCCCATTATTTAATATCTTAATAACTTCCATTTTGTTTTTAACGTGTCCATAGTTTCTTAATGATTTTCTTTACTTATTCTATCCCATTACTAACAACGTCTGCGGATCATTCACTACCTTTGCCACCATGAATTGTCAAAGAAAATGAAGTCGAACCAAACTTTTATCAAGCGTTCTTAATTCCTTCTTTGTCTTTTAGAGTTATGCAGGAGATAAGATAGTATTAGAAAAATTATTTTTGGAAAACATGCCTAAAACTCCTGAAGCATGTTCGTGAAAGTTGGAAAATCAAAATTTTAAAGGTTTCCTTAAATTTGAATCACGTGCCTAACCAACAGCAGCATTTAAAAAAAGAAAAGGAAAATGCTGTAATACTTTTGTCCTGATGTATCAGCATGTACCGAAACAAACGCACGTGGGTGGAAATGTATCTATTGCCACAAGCGATGCTGAAAATGCCGCGACATTAATACCAAAGTTATCATGAATTGTTTTAATGAAAATTGGTGTGACGAATTCTACTTCCTTTATTATCTGATGAAGTACAAAATTCAAAAAATTTATGCAGATTCTTAGTGCACGTTCATTTGCCATTATGAATTCACTACTTTTAAAGAAACCTATGCCAACACAGGAATTTGGTTCAAGGCGAAATCAATGTTTAAAGAAAGGCTTCTTGATATAGAAAAACAGGGGAAAAAATCGCCTCCCTTTGTCTGATTGCAAGCTCCATAACCATAATTCTTTCTATCGGCTATTAAAAAACTTGCCTGAAATGTGGAATCAAAACAAAAAGTGTTAAGACGTCTTTTGTTTGCAATGAGCAAGTTAAATTCTTATTTACGAAACAAAAAGCTAATACAGGATATTAGGCGCAGAATAAATCAAGCTGGACTCATGCGAGATGCTTCAGTTTTTGAGTCAAATAAAATCAGTTTTGAATGCATGAATGATGTCTCCCTTACTTGGGAAGATGCTTTTACAAATTTGGTCGAGTCGGCTCACGCTCCAAAAGCTCTAACTCCACTTGATGTAAAGCAGATGATCGAAACATGCTACCTACTGGAAGCCTGTTGTTCAGTGCCTGTTCATTTGTTGATATCACACATTGTTATCAAACTAGAGCTAAATAAGGAGTTAGTGACTGAAATACTGCATGTTTTTCCTGTACTTTATGTAGAGGATCCGGAAGACAACAAGGACACAAACATAATAAATGTATGGCAGATGGGTCTTTACCACGAGACGGTTCAAGGGTAAAGGATGTTCTTGCTCATTCTGGAAACCCTGCTTTTGCAAATAAACCAGCATTTGGACCACAGAATGTAAGAGAAAACCATTTGCTCGTAAATTCCGTCAAATGTTTTAAGAAGCCACGAAATATGCAAGATTACATGGTTATTCAGCTCACAGTAGGAGAAGAGAATCAACTGCCGTTTCTGCTGGTGTCTCAATTGAAGACGTTTACGATCATCTGCTTAGTGTAGTTCCTGGATTGCGAGAAAATGGGTTGTCGATAAATACTGCTAGATATATGTTTTGTCCCCGAAATAAAGCAGCAAAAAGTGGTCAACGTTACAAAGGTTATATAAAAGCGAAGGTACTTAAAAAGAGGATAACATCAGAAAAAACATGAAGACGCTCATTACTATTTTAGCAGAGTCAATTATCGAAGAGAGTTGGTGTCAATGTTGAATAGCGAGATTTTGGCTCTTTCTGAAGATTGCATAAATCAGTTGAGATTAAGCAGCAACACAATGGTCAGTCGTTACCACCAAAATAATAAACTATATCCAGTAAATGATTTCCCAGTCCCTGGATATTTAGGCAAACCAAGTAGTTTGATGGAGCTTAACTTTAAGAACGATTTTACTCGCGAATACCTCCGAATTAAACTTCTGCTGACCTTTATCACTAATCGAGAATTTGAATTGTAACAGAAGTTTGTGAAGAAGTAGGAGAAATATTCATGCAAAATATAGTGATGGAAGTTATTGACTGTATCATCTCCAAAGTAGTGCAAATTGTTGAAATGCTCATCAGCTTGTTAATTACAAGCATGGTAGACTGTACTTAAATACTCTCATACGGAACCAGCGCATTCTGTCTATTGAGGCAACAAAGTACCAGAAAGTAAACATGGAAACTTTACAACGATGATGTTGAACCTCTGTGATCAACAGAACCATAAAAGATGGAAAGAAAGTTGTAATTGTGATTACTGATAAAGGTCCCGATAGAAACCCTGAACACTATCAAAATCTGCTCTACTATTATCGCATGGAATTTATTTATTGCATTTATAAATACTGTCATATGTCTTCCTACTTTGTAACATTATATTATCGTTCTGAAGATGTCGCGCGTTGCGACGAAACGTCAATAAAATCCTTCCTTTAAATCATTATTTTCAACAATGGCAATTTATATGAAAGAATGTTATATGCAGTGTGTTTGAAATTAAATGAAGATATGAAGATATGGTACAGAGCACTGTACCGGCATCGCAGTCATGGGTTCGAATCCTGCTGAGTCACCTGAATTTTCAGGTTCATGAGACACTGCTTAAATTGTCCAGCAAAGTGCAAGGACAATTCCAGTAAGCTGGGCTCTTGTGTTCATTATAAGATTACCGTTTATGATTTCATTTTTTAAATTCATTCAAATTTTTCATTTTATTTATTTCTGCTTCATCTTTATCAGACTTATAAGTTCTTTTCAGCAGTCTACTAAAAGTTTTAACAAGTGGCCGTCTGATATAAATATGAACAATACTGGTATATATATTACCACTGCAAAACTTGACATACAATTTTCAAAATCGCTTCCCCTTCAATACACCCTTAGTTCTTCTCCATCTTTTTTCTTTCTTCCTTCTACTTCTGTTTAACTAAGTCACAAGAGTCCTGGATCACCTGGAATTATATCAAATGAAGCAATGCTAAAGTAAACTATTCATGCACATAGTCAGAAGGTTTTCTTGAATAAACTTTCACGATAGCAGGAAATGTTGTCTTAATATTGCATAAAGCATTTTTATGTTCATTTTGATATATTGTTGTTTACTATTTCAATGCATACGTACTTCATTTACAGAAACACCACAAGCATTGATAAATATTTGAAGAAAATCTTTAAGAAAACCTTTACCCCATTATAGCAGCAAACTGCTAGGTTGTGCAAAACAAGCGAAAAGTTAAGATATGCTGTGGTTATCAAACTTATTCATTGTAACGTGAACATTTCCTAATTTAGGGTTCAGGCCTTCGACTGAAATTCATGCGCACCATTCCACTTAAATTCTTACATGGCCGAAAGAACAAAGCGTATTTGTAAAGCCCCACTCACTCTTTCCAACAATCCACTGCTATTTCTTGTCTATAATACGCCGATTTATTGATTGATGTTTTGCTTATTAAAAGGTATTGAATACGAGTGGAGTTTATGCAATATATACCACATTTGTGCAGTATAGCCATTTGCAACACGCTTGTCTGGCTTAGTTTTGGAAGACAACGAATAAATAACAAACCTACATTAACCAAACAATGAATTAACCGAACAAACAAGGACGTATAGAAAAATAAGCACATGTAAAAAATATTCGTAGCTAAACTATTTTAATATAACCTTACTTCTTGCGCTTTGCTTTCAACTTGTCATTATTCGTCGTTTCCAGCCTAGGTTACTTCCATAGTAACGCTGGATATCAATAGTTAATTCAAAATACATTCAGGTAAATGGAATTTCATTTGAAGATTTCAAAATGGCTAAAATCGTATCGAATTTGGCATCAAAGTATAACTTCCTTTCTCGACAATTTGAATTTTTTGCGCTAACTCATCCAGAGCTGAACATGAGCATTCGAAACTACAGGCTATTCCCCAGCCATAACGGTACACATGTTTATCTGTATGGTAAATTTTGTTAAAACTTTGTGCAGGATGTTTATTACCACAAAAGTAACATTCATAAATTAGAACAAATCTACAAAATACGTTTTCATGTAGCCAAGAAATTCTAAAAATATCTCAAGTATTCCTCCTTCAATATTAAACATACTGCTTTTGAATGAATAACAATCGTCATGCAAAAATATAAAAGAAACATTCACGAACTGAGAAAAGATATGGTCAATTCTTTTTAAAACTAGACGATAAAAGTGTGAAAAGAAAGAGGCATGGTAGCCATAACAACGCTAACAGTTATCCTATTCCAAGCATTTTTTTGACTTTGCGCCGTTCTTGAATATTCCCGCGCATAGTTCATATTTCCAAAGTTTGAGCTAAAATAATGTTGTAAAGTGAGTGTTTGATCAAAATGTTGTAAGTGAAGACCTACCACGAAACATGAATTCAGTCTTTTCACTACTTCGGTATATAAAATTTATTATAGATAACAATATTACTGGTGAGGAGAATCCGGGTTGGCTGGACAAGAATTTTTTATCCTTTTCCAAACCCGCATCTCCATGACATTTTCACCCAAAGGCTGCCATATTTGAATTTTGACGGCATCAGGTTTTTGATACCCAGCCGCGCTTTAATAAAATGTAGTAATTTGGATGTGGATTTCTCGTCCAAGTATTGAGTATTCAAGTCAGTGAATACCATGCGCAATAACCTTGTAATAAAAATTTTGAAGATATTTTTCAGTTTTTTTGCGTTCTATGTTTAAATTATGTCATTTATGAAAACTTCAGTAGCAAATACATACAGCAAAGTCGTCTTCCTGAGCTGTCTCTTGAAATTCATCACCAATGACCTTGTTATGAAGGGTATTTTAAACTGAAAATTGGTAGTTATAATTTGTGTACTAACACTTGGACTAAGACCCATAATACTGATCCAATTGTATCAGTCAAAATTTTCTTATTTTGCATATACGAAAAGCAAAATTTTTGCATTTAATTTTTAATTTTGATAGCCAAATCAATCTTTAATCCGAGTTTTCGAACTTTATTGCCTTCGGAATTTATCAAATTTTGTATGAACAATTCATACACCAATACGTCAACTTTACCTAACTCTCAGACCAATGTTTTCATTACTATATTTATGTAATAATTGTTGGAAGTGGTTATCGGCGTTTAAATGACTTGCAACTTAAACGTTCCGTTTCTAGAGTTTGTTTTTACCTACATCATACCCTGTGACGCATTGCGGTGAGAAATGTACCCTTGACATGACTATAGTATTTTAGTTTTACGTACAGGTTTCACACGAAAACCCTGATTTTTAACTATCTGCATTATTTTCCATGGATTTAATAATATCAGTTATAATCTTGTAATCTATCATATAACACAGCATTGGCGTATCTACCAAAACCTTTTGGTCACGCTGGTAATATGCGGAAACCACGCCCTATGACGTCATGATGTTCAATCATACGTGTAGTGGTGCTATAACTACTTTATTGAAGTTTATGTACAAATTTTAAATACAAACAAACAGCACATTAAGTTTTTTAACAAATAAAAATAAAAGTACTGTCTCAGGTTAAGATCTCAACTTCATCATCATTTTAGTGGCCATGACTTTACATGCAGTTATCAATTCACCATACTAAACTCAAAATAACTTTTAGTTTTTTACTGTACACATGGTAATGAATATGTCATTCATGTTAAAGGAATGTCACATAGGATATGTCACATAGAAATGTCAAATTTCACAATAAAGCTGTAAAATAGTAACACAACCACAAATATTTGAATTTAATTTTGAACAGTCAATATATTCTATCATCACATGCTTTTGAGTTTAAAATCAAAACATTTATAAATCTTTTAAACATTTTTCAAATTTTTAAAAATACACACTTGAGCTATATATTTATAATATACATTACCAATCGAGTGGGAAACATAGAGTCCAAATACAGTGATAATTAACATTGTCTTTGAATTTTCTTGTAAAAGGACAAAAGCACAAATAGCTTACAAAAAACCTTGATAGGTGAACTAAAATGCGACTTTTTAAAAAACAGTATATGTGAGCTAAGTAGGAAATAAAAAAGTAAAATGATATTTTATTTAAAACAATGTTATAGCACCATTAAAATGAGCAGACATGGCATAGGGACATTATGAGTTTTTACTGATATATAGCAGCTCAATTCTTTCTGCCAAAACAACATACACACAAACCAAGAGCTGTCAATACCTGAAATGTCTATACTGCTTTCAGTTAACTGTCCATAATTGCCAAATAATCAGCTGGAAAAATGCAACCAGATTTTTTGTAAAATGAAACGATGCAAAATTTCAAGGAATTAAAAATTGCCTTTTGAAAACTGTCGCAAGACTCGTCATGCACTTTGTATGCAAACTCTTGTCGAACCAGCCATTCAATCAAATTTTTTATAAATTCACCATACCCTTCATTGTAAGCTTGAATATGTAACATACCGGCCCTAATTTGTAAATGAAATGTCCACACAAGGTGCAATACCATAAATATTGCATGTCCGACGTCTTTAACAATGATTCAAGACATATATTGGGCGATAATGCAGTAATCATTACTTTTTTCTAATCTGGGGACTGTCTGCATCCATGATGTTGAAGTACCACAAAATACCTGAAACACACGACAAACAAAACATAAGTTGCTTTGAAAAGGAGTACAATAGTGTCAATCTTTCTTCGCAAGAAATGATAGCAACTGCAAGGAGTTCTAGCTAGTATAGACTTCTGTATGATGTGTCACCAAAGTTTGTGTGCTTTAAATATTAATTCATTTGTTCGTCAGCTTGCAGAATGGAGAAAAGTATCGTCTTTTCATAAGACTATAGCTGTAAATAGCTAGCGTGAGTCTGTGAATCGTTATTAATTATTAAATGTAGAACGCCAATTTTTTAATGTCGAAGGCTCAAATTGGACTCTATAAAAGCGTGACTGTGCTCCAAATCTACGAGTTTGAGCATGCTCAGATGTCATTCGACAATTAGATTATGAGCTCTTTAAATATATTGTATGGTCGGGCTAAATTTTGAGAGCCGACCAAGCTGAAAAGCATGGAACGGCTTTTATTGATGCTACGCAACTTCTCACTATATGCAAATTTTGGGTTAATTCAACAAAATCCTATTTAAAGATTTGGATTATCCTCTCAACATCCGCAATAGAATTGATTAAAACTCTTTTCAGAATTGAAACTCATTTTTTTAACTTTTAATCGAACAAATTCTTTATTTTAGGGAAATTTTGGTCGAATGAATTTTGTCAAAAAATTATTTTTGTTAAGAATAAGTCATTAAGACCCACTCACACGATCGATTTGTCATATCCATTGTTTCAGCTCCCATTTTTGTTGCTTGTTCAAGAAGGTCCGATAATTTTTGATATATTCATTCGATTCGATATTTATAGTAATGTAAACAACTATTCGTGTTATCCAGTACATTTATCAATAATTTTATCGTATTTTTGTTCTTCTTTTTTTAACCTTTTAAAATCCTATATAATTTTGACTAGTCGGCTTCGTTTGGTCCTGTCAGATGAAAATAGAGCAAGTTTTATAATTTCCATCGATTTCTTAGATTAGTGGATCCGACTATCGGAGGCTCACTTTTATGTGTTCACATGATCCCGTTTTTAAAGATCCGACAAAATCTGATCCGACACATTAGATCGTGAACGGGCTTTAAGCTATTTAAGACATTATACTGAATTGACGTAGATACTTTCTTATTTTTCATTTATTTAGAAGTTGACTTGGGAGGCCAGTTGATCGCTTAGTTACACCTGAAACGTAAACTAGGAACACTCGACGAAATTGCACGTTTGGAAGTGAAATTGACCTTCTACAAATGAGAAACTTAAAATTGACAGAAGGGTATGAAATAAAGGACTGCTGTATGTATTAAGCCATTTACCAATACAAATAATTTATCTTTGTTTGACTTTACAATAATTTTTTGTGCGTTGTTTTTTTTACTTTACTGCAGCAGCTATTTAGAATTTTTTGGCAATCATATAAAATGTTATTATTGGCAAATTATGATTGAAAACTTCACTTTTTCAACTATTTAGTATTGGGTGACGAAAGATATATTATTAGAAGAGCTAATATGGAAGTAGCCCCAAATTAGCAATCGTCCACCACTGCTATTGAATTGCAGAAGTGTAACACTTAAACATAGGTGTTTACGACTGACAAAATCAAGTAATTAGCTTATATTTGTGCCAAATTGGGACAAGCGTTCTCCTTTTAATGAAACATATATGTAGTACTTTTGGCGAGACATTAAATGGGGTTTCCGTTGGAAATGTCTTTTCTTTAACACCTCAATTAAGTTATAAGAGATTGGACACTATGAGAGAAAGGCTGTTGTTGTTGATGTTGCTTAAATTTTCTACACAGTCTGTAGTTATTTTGTAGTCAAGTGAGGAGTAAATGTCAGGTTAGCTGCACATTTTGTCGACCTGGTTTGTACGTATAGTATTGTGTGCTTCTAGGAATGTGTGGGTGTGTCGGTGTCTACTGTGTGCTTTTGTCATGAACCAGTATAAAGTGCTGTAATGCATTAATAAAAACGACAAGTATTCTTAAAATAAACAAGTTTCGACATCTCCTTGATACCATCGTTTGTATAACAAGAGTATTATTTTATGTATGTAATGAATATATATGAGCAATATGATACTATGATACAATTTATACACTTATGTATAGATTGTTATTTATAAATATTACAATGAAATAGTGGTTAGAATTACTGATACAAAGTATTTACACAGACTTAATAAAGGTGTTAAAGTGAAAAAGTGGAACGTTTTGCTTATGGTTAGTTTTGCATGAAGGTGATTTTAAAGGTGTCCAAGAAACCATGTGAGTTTTTGTCAGTTGTGAGATTTGCGTTCCCTGATTCCTGGTGGACAAGTTACAGAAGTTTCACATTGTATCTGCAATTCCACACAATCGGATTGGTATACCACCATAGATTTAATAGAATCTGATAGGATCTTTGAATGAAAAGTAGTTTTGATTTTGATAGAAGTGAAAATTAGTCCGGACGTTAATGTCAGTGTAGCAAATTTCTCCCTTTGCACGTTACAAAGCAGTTTTGCGTCCGCCGGTTCTCTATGGGACGGTATACTATCTAAACTAGCGCGCAGTCAAACCCGCAACTCTCAAATGTCATCGAGTTTCAATTTTTCTAGTCAAAGTTATGCACACATCAATTCCAATTCATGCTCCTTACTCGTTCACAGGCATCAACAAATGACAATGCCGTCTTAATTTGACCTTCTAAAATACTCAATGATCATAAAGTTCCTTTTTCCGCTTTTTAACGATGAGTTCCTGGTCTTAAGTAACAATCATGAATTTATTTTTACATTAATTTCAAGACACTCACCCCCAACTGAGAATTTTGGGGATTAAAACCCTTAACTTTGTTCCTTAACATGCATCCCTGGCTACGGCCCTTCCTGGGTCTCCTGTTACTTCCTGCCCACAGCTCTCCCTTTTCTACATATCCTCTAATTTCTCACTACCTTCCACTCCGTTATCATGTACCCCTACATCTATCTCAGTGGATACAATTTTTGCAGGGCTTACTTATATACTGAGTATTCCTTTACTGACAACTATGACTTCTGCTCCTCTGACTGCATATCATCCTTTCCCTGCGAACAAAATCTCTCAATTCTCGCTGTTTTCCAAAACCCTCTTTTAAACTTTCAAGTCAAGAAACAAGAACGACATCCTTACTTTTGGACAAAAGAAACTACCCGTTGCTTTTCTGACCTTATGAATTTCTCTTCAAATTTGATTTAAGTACTCCTTCCACCACCTTGATAAAAATGTGACCTTAATTTCGCTAAATATCTAAACCTACGCTTTATCTCTCCTTCATCTTCACATTACCTGTAGCGTTTTGAACTTTCTCATCCTGGAATAGATGCTAATGTCTTCTGAAGCACGAGATGGGAAGGAGTCAGTACATTCACATTACTTCATCATCCATTTTATACGTCAATGGTCTGGATCATTGAAAGACTTCCTGTGGTCTTTTTCCGAAACAATGCTCACTTCCCTTTTATTGTGATGCTGCAATTCTCCCTAGAACCCTAAGTCCAGCTGGGTTCTCTACACCTGGGCAATGTATTCAATCATCCTTTCTGCTCAATTTTAAAATTTAGTTAACTCTATTGAGTGCAAATGTTTCCTATTCTCACTTATTTACTGATCCCAGTACAATGCAGTCATACTGTCCCAACCAATGGTATGTTCAATAAACTGTGTACATTATCCTCCCAACGCTGACTTCACTGTGTCCATTAACACTGCCAATTATCCCAATAGACATGGTTCTAATCTGGGAATGGTCTGCGATTTCAATGGCATTCTATCCTCTTTTCGCAGTAAGTGATTCTGCTTGATAAGCCCATTTGGTTCTGTTGCAGAATATATTGCTGCAGTATGCCTTCAAGGCTGTCTGCATACCAATACAAGTAACACTGTCTCACCAATCAAATTACCGTAAAAACACATCTCATCACTACTAAAGTCCCGTGCTCCACAACTCTTCTATCCAAACCTCCCACAGTTTCCTCCTGTCACCATCCAACTCTTTATCCTATTCAATGTTCTCAATACACAACTCCTGAGCAATAATAGCACAAACTATAATTAAACACAACAACCAACGTGTTAAATAATCCTACAAGTACACTTAGTATGTTTCGCTTACTAGGAATGAGTGTTTTTGCTCTTTCTTACAATATCCACAGGCAAAGCACAAATTGATCTGATTTACACACCATCCCAATCCCAGTACCTTCTAAATTTCCACTACTACTGATACCAACAGATGCTTTTGTCTAGGTTTGTTCCATCCAACCACATTTTTTCATAACTACATCTACCATTCCTTTTTCTAAATTGCTTCCTTCTCTCAATTTCTATTTCTTTAGAGCACTCTCATCATTACTGAGCCACTTCTAAGCTTAATCCCCATACAGCCATTAAACACTTGCTGTCTCATATAACATGATTGCTGCTTTTCGTCGATTGATCACCTGACACAAGGTCATCTACATAAAAGCTGTCTCTGGTTTCTTAACAAATTCTCTATCTACTTCCATGAATGAGTCTAAATGGTACTGTGGCGTTGCATTCGACAAAATGGAGCAATTAACCCCAAACACTACTCTACAAAACCACGGTATTCCCACAGGTCTTACCCTTTCACTAATCACATCCATCTACCCATAGAAGTCTTAGGCAATCCCTGTCCAAAGTGTCAACTGCAATGTTTAAAAATTCCTTTTCAATGTCTGCCACTAACGCAGCAACTTTTTGCATAACAATGGTGCTAATTTGGGTCTCACATGCAAACAGTCATTAAGCGAGGAATCTTTTGGTGACTCTTGTGACGCATCATAAACAACTCGTACCTTGGTTGTGCTTTGCATCTTTGATAACAATTGCATGATGTGGTGGGTAATGTATTTTATCATCGCTCTAATTTATGACTGTGGTTCTATAACACCGCTACTCAACTCATCCTTGGTGTCTTGTCATACTCATCCAAAATGTCTGGTTCTTTCTTTCAGCTATTCTTGATAGCACCCAATCTTTTTCAAGCACATTAGAATTTGTGAATCTAATCTGTGTCCCTTTCTTCCAAGGCAATTTAACACTGTATATTTTTTCCATTAAACACAATAGAATCCTTCAAAGACTTGTGAATATCGCCTCTTTAACAATTCCTATAGTTTCAAAATCCCACAAGCGATTGACATTCATATCAAATTTAAATTGCTTGAGCTTTCATGAGAACAATGATGGTTACTTGAGGTGTGCAAAGTTATCTAAATTGTTTCCCCACCACAACTTTCATGGGCCCGGACAACACAACCCTAATTTAGTAGACACAGCTACCGGTTCATCTACCTGTCCCCGAACAACGACACATCACTGGAAACCACAAAGATAATCAACTCTGACCAAAACCTCAATTTCCAAAACAGCCTTATCACTTGCCAAACATCTGAAAACCACAGACCTTTTAAATGAGAATAATCCCTTTTCTCAACTCCACATGTTCAATTCTAAGTTGAGATATACAGTCCTACACTATATGCTTCAATATTCACACTATCCCCCGTAACTGAAGTCAACTCTAATTGGCTTTTCCATGGTACCTTCAGCCTTCTCTTGACCAAATGAGTTTGATTTCTACCCATTTCCTTTCAGATAGAATGAATGCCTGCTCTCTGTATTATCTTTCTTTTCTGATAACGACTTCCCTGAATCAAATAAGACTCAGACAGCACAATACAGACAGCACAGGCTTTTATTTAGGGAGATATGGGAAGAATGCTTGCTATCTCTAAATAAAAACCAGTACTGTCTAACTCTACAATGAGATCCCAAAATAGAGATGGTTGGTTTGAACATCACCTAAAAGAATCCCATTGGCTTCACCAAATTGACCTATGGTGTGCCTTCCCGCATGCATTGCACATTATTATTATTACAATTTTTACTGACGTGTCCTTTCTTTGAAACAAATGAAACATCTTCCGTTCTTACGAAGATCAGCTGTTTCTCTCATTTTATTAATGACTTTTTTTACATTCCTCCGGTCTGTGTTCCCCGAGACAATAAACGCAGTTTCGTGCTGCTTTATCATTTGTTGACCCCCTCGTTGCGACGTTCGTGTTTTGCGTGAAGCGCTGACGCCGACCGATTTGTCTATAATGTCTCGATCTTTCTCTTGTTTCTCCCCGTCATTTCCCTTGCTCCTTTCGCCGATCGGCTTGTGAGCTTCACGAAGCTCTAACTCTTTAAAGAATCGCATTCAACCTCTTTCATTGACCACTCAGCGAGTCGTGGTCTCTTGTAATCGTCCATCGAAGGCGTCCGGCAACTTCCGCAATAACTTCTGGTACTACGATTGCTGAACACGCGGCTTCGTCCACTCCTAGGGCCTTTAATCCACGGTAGTTCGTCTCGCAGGTCATTACAGCCGCCGTAACTGTCGATATCTCCTTCGTCTGTTATGGATTTAACATTCATCGGCTCCCTGGATGGATGTGTGCTTCTGGATCCACCTTGTTTTACTCGTATCTACCTTTCAATAATTCTACTACTTCGTGATAGTTCGCCGAAGTTAACGCAAAATCCGATAGCTGTGTCGATCTTGTGGGTTCAGTGAACTCCTTAAGTACTGAAACTTGTACCGTCCGCCAATCCATCATTGCTATTCACCACTGTCGAACGGACCCAAAACTCTTGCCATTCCTGTAACCGTCCGCTAAATTTCTTTACTTCCAGCGTTGGGAGTTTTGCTCGAATAACTCTTTGCGTCTCACTACTCGAACTATTCAATGTGTCTTTCAATGTCCTTTATTTGCCGTTTCAATTGGGGAATCGACTCCTTGATATTATCGTTTGAATCAAAATTAGTCTCTCGAATTCGCTCGTATCTCATCCGCATCTTCTATTTCTTTACCCAGTTCTTCTTCCACATTTCTTCGATTATTTCGCTCAGGAGCTCGATAACCGTTTCATCAAAGACTTTCAATGTTGCAATTTTATCATTTAACCCGTTTCGTAATTGTTTCAATTCATTTATATCGATCTCACCGTCTGTTTCTCTTATTTTGTCTTTCAATTTACTGGCGATTTTTCTTGCCGATCTTCTATGTCCTGCGCGCATTCATTTCTTTTTCATTAACTCTTCCATTGTTCTTTCCAACTACCGAACTTGAATTTTCCAAATAAAATCTCCGACTCGAAGGACCACAAAGCACAAAGCACAAAGCACAAAGGAGTTATGCGTCCGCCGGTTCTCTGTGGGACTGCATAAAGCTAGCGCGCAGTCAATCACAACTCTCAAATGTCATCAATTTAATTTTCTAGTCGAAGTTATACATCAATTCCTATTCATGCTCCTTACTCGTTCACAGGCATCAACAAAAGACAATGCCTTCTTAATTTGACCCTTCTAAAATACTTGATAATCATAAGTTTTTTTTCAGCTCTAACGATAAGTTCCTAGTCTCAAATAACAATCATAATTTATTTACATAATTTTCGACTGTGCAGAAGTGTTTGATGTTGTTTGTAAGTCTACGTTGTGTATGTCGTGAATGGTGTCTGATGTATGGTAGTTTAAAGTAAAGAGTTTTTATGGACTGTTCATTGTTGTTGGCCATGGTTATTACATCTACAAATATGTAACGATACTCTCTGGTTCAAAGCATTTGCATTACAACAAACGATTTACATGACATATTTTTTTCAAAATTCAGGCACAATGTCCTATATTTGCGTTCTGGATGATTGGGAAATAAATAGGAAAGAACTAACTATTACGGACAGCAAACTAGGTGGATTGTGCTTTGGCGTGGTGAAGAAGGGGATATATCATAACAAAGACCAAGATATATATATTGATGTAAAGATGCTAAAAGGTAAAATTTTTGATTGACTGCAAAGTATGACAGTTTGAAGAGCAGTGTGCTTGTACTTTAAATGCCCAAGTTTAAAATATTTCACTTAATTAATTGTTCCAAACATCATGAAACATGCGTACATGTGCAAATACAAACACAAAATTAGGAAAGCAAAATATTGACATTGATTTTTTTAATGATGCAACTCAACGAGCCCAATACGTTAATCAGTTCTCAAGCATTATATCGAAGCAGTTTATTTTTTCCTTAAATTAATAATCTCTCATGTGAGCGCTCAATTTTATGTTGTATTATACATAGGCAGACTGGCCTATGTAGCATCAGGAATTTTACCTGTGAGCCCCAGTGATGTGTGCTCTTTCGCGCTGCCTTTCAAGAAATTTACAAAGTGAAAAATGATAAACTATTAAAGTGAAGATACCTACAATGACTAAAGTCTAAAGCAATTTGTATGTATAAAATGTTTTGGTCATACAGTGTTGTGTAAACATTAGCTCAAAGTGATATTCAAAATATAATTTTATTTGAAGAACTAACAACTTTATGTAACGGTTGGGAAAATATATTGCATTTACATATTCATTATTCAAAAATAGTAGTGAGTTAAAGTTTCTATTTCTAATCAGTGATTGTGGAATTTGTGTAAACTTAATAGTATAAAATTATAAAAGTATCTTAATATTGTGGGTCATTTTCCTGACTCAACTTGTGCAAACAAAATACATACAGTCTATTCATCTTGTACTAATCTCTAACGATACTTCCACAACTTCCACTAGGAGCAATGTTTATCGTTCTCTGTAAACAACCGCGAGGAATTGAGACGAGAAAAGAAACTGTAAAATGCAAAAGGGAAATGTCAAAAGAATTAAGTTTATTCATCAAACAAATAACTGCAATGTAGTAATCGTTATAAGTAAACATTTTAAGTTAAGCTGTAGACCTGGAATTCATACAGCGTTTGTTTGTAGTGTAAAAAGTGTATGCATCACTATGCATCACAAGTGGACATTTTTTAATTGTTAAAAAATTGTTAACGAAGTAAAGTTAAAAGATAAAAAAAAAGGGGTGAGTTTGATGATGCATCAGACATGCGTAGGCAGTTTGGAGTTGTAAAGTTCTTAAACACACGCATGCAAACTTTAAGCGTACACAAGCATGCTAAGGTTACCTTCACTTTGCAAAAACACTATCGCTAATGCGCATTTGAACCTAAAAACTTGAATATTGATGTCGAGTAGGTTTTGTTAATGTGGAGTTTTTCATTGATTTTGAGGAAGAATGAGGTGTCTGCAGTGTCTATGATTTTGAAGTAAGAGGGCGAATAGTTGGTTTTACATGAATATTGGATAAATGTCTCGAAGTTTCTCTAAAATATCGGGAATTACATCACGCGCAACTGAATGCATATACCAACATAGATTGAATCACGAATCGGGTCTTTGAATGAGAAGAAGTTTTTGATTTTAAATGATGTGAAAAATAGTCGAGTGTCAATATCTGTAAAGAAGCGTTTCACAATGTTCTGATGAACTATTTTATTTTCACATCACTTCATACAAAACTGGAATTATACGCACACTCAGCTACAGAGCATACAAACTTGACAATACGACCAATGGCTTTCAACGAGGTATAAAAAACATCACATCTATTCTTTTACGAAACTCCTTCCCACTATACTTTATTAACAGAACCGTAAAACGATACCTCGACAACAGAAATAACACAACCTCAAACTAGAAACCGAAACTCTTGATAAAACGACAAAGGCCAACGCAAACGAAAATTCCAAAAATAACAAATCAATGCTGTAAACTATCATACATCGGACATTACTCGCGACACACACAGTGCAGACTTACGAAAATTATGAAACGCTTCTGTACAGATATTGACATTTGACTATTTTCACATCATTTAAAATCAAAAACTTTTTCTCATTCAAAGACCCGATCCCTGATTCAATTAAATCAATTCGATTTTTTAACATAACACAACAGACAAAACTCATATCTTTCGACACTCTTTATTAACAGAACCGTAAAACGATACCTCGACAACAGAAATAACACAACCTCAAACTAGAAACCGAAACTCTTGATAAAACGACCAAGGCCAACGCAAACGAAAATTCCAAAAATAACAAATCAATGCTGTAAACTATCATACATCGGACATTACTCACGACACACACAGTGCAGACTTACGAAAATTATGAAACGCTTCTGTACAGATATTGACATTTGACTATTTTCACATCATTTAAAATCAAAAACTTTTTCTCATTCAAAGACCCGATCCCTGATTCAATTAAATCAATTCGATTTTTTAACATAACACAACAGACAAAACTCTCATATCTTCCGACACAAATCTCATTCATGTAAAACCAACTATTCACCCTCTTCTTTCAAGATCATAGACGCCGCACACACCTCATTCTCCCTTAAAATCAAAGAAATACGCCACATTAACAAAACCAACCCTGACCTCAATGTTCAAGTTTTTAGATTCAACACAATACTTAGTATAAAACACGATCCCCATTTATCTATCTCATTTCCTTACTATTGGTATAATTTATCAATATTATCGCTTCCGCTTAATATTGGGAAAATAAAGGTCTAAAGGCCTAATTCCACGGCAGCGAAATGCGAAATAGTTCGCGCGAAATTCTGTTTCTGCGAAATTTTCTCCTGTAATTCGATTTCCACGCATGAGAAAAAGAGCGCCAAGTTTTAAATAATATAGCAATATGGAGTTCAGCCGCAAACAATTAATTTGCCTGCTCTTGATATACCGAAGAAGAAAACGACGTTTGAAAAAATACAAAAAGAGATTTTGGGTCAGAAAGCTTTTTAAAAGTCGTGCAATACGAGGGGAATTTGTGAACTTAGTACAGGAGTTGAAACTGCACGACCATGAGTTGTTTTTTAAGCAATTCAGGATGGATCCTAGCCAGATGGAAGAGGTTTTAAGCTGGATAGCGCCAAAAATTTATAAACAGGAAACTCGGAGAGATGTTATAAAACCTGAAGAGAGATTATGTGTGACTATGCGCTATTTAGCAACGGGTGACTCTTTCTCAACCATATCGATGAGTTATAGAATTGGAGAAACCACAATATCAAAGATTGTCAGCGAAACATCGAGTACTATTTGGGAAGCAATGTTGGAGAAAAACATTTTGAACATGCCTAAAGCACCAGAAGATTGGTTAGCAATTGCCAAATTGTTTGAAAAACGTTGGAATTTTCCTAATTGCTTGGGGTGCATTGATGGAAAACATGTACTCATTCAAGCACCTGCTAGGAGTGGTTCACTGTTTTTCAATTATAAAAACTTTCTCAATTGTGCTGCTAGCAGTTTGTAATGGAAACTACCAATTTACAATGGTCGATATTGGGAAGCAGGCAGGCAAAGTGATGGTGGTGTATTTTCTAATAGCAATCTTGGCTATTCTATTCTTAAGAATCTCCTGCCAGTGCCTAGACCAAGACAGATAGACAGTTCAAATGTTTTATTTCCATTTGTCTTTCTTGGCGATGATGCATTCCCATTACGTCAGAACTTGATGAAGCCTTATGCAAATCCTAATTTGGACATAAGGAAACTTGTGACCAACTATCGCATATCAAGAGCCAGGCGTATAATTGAAAACTCGTTTGGAATATTGGCTGCAAGATTCCGAATATTTAGACGTCCAATTCATGCAAAAGTTGACACAGTTATTTCAATTACCAAAGCTTGTGTTGCTTTGCATAATTACCTAATGAATGGAAAGACATATGCTAACCGATACTGTCCATTAGGTTTTGTTGACCATGAAATCAATGGACATTTCAAAGGAGGGGACTGGCGAGATATGGTAGTTGATACAACTGGTTTGGGTCAAATATCAAGAGTTGGTTCAAACAACTATGCAAAAGATGCTAAAGAAGTAAGAGACAATTTTTGTAAATATTTTAATTCAAAGGAAGGAGAGGTCCCTTGGCAATGGCATGCATATGATGTTGATGTAAATAATTGCCACAAATCATGATAACTTTATTTAAAAGACATTAATGTCATCCCTAAAATTTGCATGGGAAATGATCATGATTCATGCAAGGAATTCAAATTTTTTTCAAAATAAAAAACATCACAACAAAACTTACAAACAAAACATAAACCTGTCAGACGAAACAAAGTGAATATTCACATTTCCCTCATTCATCATCCATCTCTTTCAGAAGAATCTGTTGAATATTTATTTTTACTTCCAGACTTTTTTTTCTTGGGAACTTTCTCAAAACATCCACAATACTTTTACAAAAAAAGAAATCTTCATCTTCATGTTCTTTCTTATCACTGCCTTGATCTTTTTCTTTTATGGCATTAATTAAGTAGTGATCAATAGGATCCATGTCATCATTTTTTTTCCTTTTACGATGAACTATAGTTGCCTGAGGTTCAACATTAGGGAAGCTTTGATTTAAAATACCTTCTGCACAAGAAATAGGTTCTGATGATGTAGACGAGGATGGGGACTGGTGTTGTGAATGTTGTGGTTCAACAGACTGGATGGTAACGTTGCTATGGGTGGTGCGATTACTTAGTGTATCCCGAAGGAATGCCAATTGACTAAAATATCTGCAGCGAGGTGGCTTATAAGCACCTGCACCTGACCTGCTCATATCTCTTTCTCTGTCAAGACATTTTTTGAAGCTATCACAGAGATTTTTCCACTTGTTTTTCAAAAAGTTAACTAAAAAAGTTAAATAGAAAAATTTAAGAAATTAAGCTAGTGAACACAATTAACACAAAGATCTTTTATTATTTAGGCAACTGCCTTTTTAACCATGCAATTGATGACTAGATGTGGTGCAGTACAATTCACAAAAAATTCAACTGTATCCACCAAGTTGCAAAATCTTGAACATCAGAGTTCCTGAACTGCCTATGACATAATCTGTAAAGGGAGAGCCTTGCATAATTTCATCCCACACCATACT